GTGTTCTTGGAGCTCAGAAACCTTGACTTCCTTAATGTTACTGGATTTTCCAAGTGCAAGGGTGTTCTTACTTGATGTGTTTTCTTCAGTAGCAACACCTACACCTCAAGAGTTTACTGTGTAAATTTATAAAGGAATTCTAATCCCTCTTTCTTGTCTCTTACTGCACCAGTAAGAGCTCTGGTTTGACTGGGATTTAACCTGAATTTAAATTCTTTTAGGAGAGCTAATCTGAGAATGAAGAGCCCTTGCTTGTCCTTGTGATCACCAGAAAGCAAGTTAGCTACACATGGGGTTTAAGATATCAGTCAATACACCGAGTCCTGTTTTTCAGTTCAGATAGGGTAAATATTTGATACATGGATAAACACAAGTTAGGAATTGCTTCCAAACTGTCTTGTTCAAGTCTTATTTTACAACCAATTCCCTGGTTTTTTGGGGTTTTTTTTGTTTGTTTGGTTTTTTGTTTTTGTTTTTTTTTTTTGTTTTTTTTTTTTTGCTTTGAAATCAAATAGTCTAATGAAGCTCTAGCCAATAACTGTAGGAGGGTCTGCTTCAACTGTGGTTGGTAAAATGAAACCTTTTGATAGAGGTAGCCTGGCCCACTCCAGCTGTTGCTGTCATTCTGAGAGTAAAGTTCACATTATTAAACCTTGTGCACTTTCTCTTTTACTTCACTCAGATAAAGATGAAAACAGCCAAACAAGTGAAAAGCCAAAGCCTGTTTCTTCTCTAAACTTGGAACATGTTCCTGGTGCAGATGCAGCTGTGCAGGTAATGCTGCTACACCCAGCAGTGCTGATGGCTCTCAGAGCTGATATGGAGCAAGGCTGGCAGAGATGAGGACAAAAAAATACTGCTGAGTTTCCCTCCTGCCCTGTCTTCTGCTCTGGCCCACATGTGTCTCTGCTGTGGGGCACAGCTCAGAAGTTGCTCTGGCTGGGGTCTAGAGTGGAGGGGATCAGAGTTATTGGTCAGGGTGAGTTTACCCATCCACTTCCCCATAAGCAGCCATCAGGATGGGAAGAAAGGGTTAGATAGAGGAGAGAAAGGATGGGGATTAACTAATGAAAACACTTTGTGAAGTGTTTTAAGTGAGCCCTTGTCTGTTATTGTTGCAGAAAGATAGAGCTGTGACCGTTTCCCAGACTGAACTGCTGGTAGGTAATGTCAATATAGGCCCTAAAGGCTCAGCAGCACCTCTGCTGGAGACTGATGAGGAGGGGGATTTGCATCCTGTATACAGAGGAGCTTCAAATGTTTTCTGTATCCGTCTGCTTTGTATCGATGAGAAGTATGAAACTAGGTAAGTGTAGAGGAAGAGTAACTGCTTTCCCATTAATAACTATTTTCAAGGCTATGTTTTCAAGACAAATCAGAAAGTGACAGCACCTGCAGTGGTTAGATGGGATTTTTTCTGACCTCTTTCTTGTCTGCTTCTTTTATCTTCAGTAATAACGTTTCAGCCTTCACTTGCAACTTCCTAACTCTGACAGTCTGTGGGGGCAAAATGCAAAGAATTCATTTTTGTTGGAAAAAATGTAAGTTGAGGTTGTGGAAAAAGGCTGCTGTTTCCTTCTACGGAGACACTCATTCTGAAGCTGGCTAGCTGCAAGAAGGGCTACATGTTACAGTAGTTCTCATCTCATTGCATGGGGCAATAACGCTGTTCTGAGCTCTGCAGGTAAATATTCCCATTGTAAAGACTTTTTCCAGTCACTGAAAGAAATTATTCTGTTTTCTAGAATCCTCTACACCTAGGGGAGAGAAAGGAATTTTCTCTTAACACAGTTGCTGCTGCTGATCTCACACTCCTAGATCCTGGTGGATTAGAATAGGGCTATAAATTGGGTTTAAACTTTTTTTTCTGAAATTTCTCTCCACACTTTAATACATTCAACCACATCAGCAGAAACTTCTCCAGGAACTTTTTTCCTTTTCAATGTGGTGGTAGAAAGGAAGATGCATGATAGAGGAAGCAACTGAGCACACTCAGGATCTTCCATGCTTTCAAATCCATGTCATATCTGCAGACAGCAGGTGTCAGGAATAAGGGCTTGATAGATGAGTTGAACATGTGTAGTACAGTTTGAAAAAACATCTGTCTACTCAGTCATTAGTGAGTAGCAACTTCTGAAATCTGGCTTAAAAGAAGTGTAAGAATAAACTTCACTGAGGAGAAAAATGAGCATTCATTGAAAACTGGTTCTATTTATTGAGCGGTTTCTTGATTAAGGAGGGCACCTACCCAAGAGGATCAAATACTGAGTCTGCTGCAAATGCAAATACATAAAGTTACCAAAACAAAGTAAAGACATTGCCTTTTGTGTATATATTTCCCAAGTGATATACTCAGTAACAGAGCTCAAGTTTGTTAAGAACTAGTTTAATTAGTGAAGTGCAGGAAGTCAACATAGGAGATCTGTGTTGTACTTAGAAACATTGACCAACTAATGTGTGATAAGAACAATTGCACTGCCAAAAGACTGTGCCAGAACAGTTAATTGAGGGACAATTTAGTGTAAAAATTCAAGCAATATACTTATTGCAGAACATGAAAGCTTTGTATTAAAATATTAGTGAGGCAAGGGGTTTGCTCTGGAACGATTCCATCATACTGAAACAGCAGTTCAGAGCTTTGCTAGAGATTTATTGTCAGTAAATAATCTCACTGTATATTTCTTGAGTTCACTGCTCATAGTTTCCTGCTTAGGATAAGGATTGGTCTGTTTTTTGCTCCTGAGCTCTGTGCTTTGTTGGCTGTTTCTGTTCAAAAAATTTCTTGCTGCATTTATCATTCAATGCTGTGCTCCCAGTTTTTTTACCTGGAGACATCTGTGGAGCAGTGTGGATTCCAAGATGGGTATCTGGAGGAGACACCATTCCTGTCTGAAGACTTTTCCCGAAGATTACCTCATGCAGAGCTGAGAAATCTGTAGATTTTGGTGTTTTCAAACATTTTGCTTGTATGCTTCTCTGGCTTGCTTTTGCTTGATCCACCTGCCTGTAGAAGAAATATTAGCAAAGCAAATACATGTAAAGGAGGGCACAAGGTGATGCTGGCTGCAGCCTGGAAACTTGTCCTGAGGGAGGTCCTGCTGGCCTTGCACAGCATGGACCCAGAAATAGCAGTTGGCTTGAAGTGTAGGTGTGATTGCATCTTAGCCCTGAGGGAAGTTTGCTCCTTGGGAGTTGTTACCCACTACTGTTGCTAAATGTTTCCATCTCCTAAACCCAGAGCTGTTATGTGGCTTGTTAATGCATTGAGGGTGACATGTCAAGGAACTGAACTACTGGCTTATCTGCTGATACTTGATATTTTTTCTAAGCCCCCTGAAAAATCTCCCACTTCAATTCTTGTGGTCCTTGCTGCCAACAAGATCCTGGATACCAGAGAGAAAATGACAGTGCAGTATAGTTGCAATGGCATTTTCCTTTCCCTTGAATAGCTGTTCTGTTAACTAGTCTTAGTTAAGTATTATATAGGTGCATATCTAACGCTCCAATCCTGATCTGTACTTGCAGCTTTACGTTTACATTTGGGCATAGATATTGCAATTAGAAATTATTTCTCTTTTAAGTTATATTATTGAAGAGGTAATTAAAGGGAGCTTAATTACAGTTCTGAAAGGAGGAGAGGATTTATCACTATTTATAAGGTAACATATATCTGTATGAATTTCTTCAAAAAATACATCTTGTGTGGTGGAAAAGTGTTTTATGAAACTTCAGCATAACTGGGTTTTGAGTTCTTTGATAGCCTTACATATGGGAGAAACAGCAGGGCTTTGGTGAGATTTCTCAAGTCTTTTTAAACTGAAATGTCACAATTTGCTGTCACCATGGAAAAGAGACTGGGACAGCTCTAAGTCAGTGGGTGAGAAGTGAAAAGAAGTGTTTAAAAACAATTATAAGTATTGATGTTCCTGTTAGTCAGAGCACATCAGGCAAGTTTTCCTGAGTGGAAAGTCACAGAGCCCTTAGTGCTGGCTGAAAATACTATAGAACATAGCAACAACTGTTTGTAACCTGAAGTAATATTTGCTATATACTAATGCTGCTGTGATAGTCCAGGAATGGCTTCTTAAAGAGGCTGGAGTCAACAACATGAAAGCCAGTGTTTTGTTAGTTCCTCCCCCTGCCTTTTTAGTGAGGAGCCTCATGTATTATGTCAAACATCCTGGTTATTCTTGTTAATAATGATGCTTTAAGGACTAGAAATCAGAAATTGCTGTGCAGCATGCAACATCAACAGTTGGTTATTGATGATCTATCGGGATTGTCCGATCAGCTCTGAATAAATGCTCCTGCACTTGCAGGGATGTCATAGTGTATCAGATCATTCTGATATGTGCTTTATTTGCCAATATTTGCTCTTGGTTGCAGGTCACTGGATTTTTTGCATTATGCTTTCAACGTTTTCCCAGTGAGTATAACGAAAGTTGGAATGATTTTGTATGGTGGGACAGCAGTGCAGCTGGCAGCCAGGGGATGTGGGTCTAGTGCTCCAGTGAGTCTGCCCCACATGAGTGTGTTGGGCCTGGTTACCCTGGGCTGAACTACTTCCTTCCTTGGCTGCTTCTGGACTTCATGGAATGTATACCTAAGTCCTCTGTTTATCCTAGAATGGTTTGGGTTGGAAAGGAACTTAGAAATCATCCAGTACCGCCCACCCCTGCCATAGGCAGGACACCTTCCACTAGACCAGATTCCTCCAAGTCTTGTCCAGCCTGGGCTTGGACTCTTCCAGTGATGGAGCAGCCACATCTTCTCTGGGCAACCTGTGCCAGCGCTCCTCACACTCACAGGGAAGATTTTTTCTGTACAGTGTAATCTAAACCTGCTCTCTGTCAGTGTGAAGGCATTTCCCTGCCACTATGTGCTCTTGTAAATAGTCTCCCTAGTTTATGTTCCATAGGGACTTCTCTAAGATGTAGATTTAGAAAAAGAAATGCTTCAAACTCCTTTAAAACCATGTACAGATTCAGACCATACCTACATTAAAAACAAAATTAGCAAAATTTATTAAAGGAGATGGAGTTAAAGCCTATAAAACAATGGTATTAAGGAGATTCATAATATTTACCTATAGACTGAACTGTGGCATTGTAGATTCACAGTGCAGTAGCTATTTTCCACTCACGCCTTGTGTCATCCCTCTGTCTGAGGTAACAAAGACCACTTTCTGAGACTTTCTTAATGCACATCAGTGTTCTAAAGTCATGTCATAAAGCACTGCATGGCAGTGTGCCTTGGAGACAGGCCCTGGGTACCAGAGACACTGTCTTGGCCCTAAGAACCAGCACACTCAAAACCACTGCTTACCACCAAAGGAAGTTCCTAGCGAGAGCTGACCCAGAAAGCATTTCAAATGTATGTAATTTATCCATCCAGCAATGTCAGTTATGAAATAAAATGCCACGCTGGAATCCCCAGATGTAGTAAGGAAGGTTCATTCCATAGTTTGCTTAAAGTGAAGCCATTTCTGAGCTGTCAGTTCCTTGGTGCTGGCCAGGCAGAGCAGTGCTTGGTGGTGTGCAGTGTAAACCCTGCATTCAGACACCTAAGGGCTGTCTGTCCCCTCAGAGGGCTTTGGGTGAAGCTTAGAGAACACTTTTATTGCCTGCCAATGTCTTTCAGGACAGAGACTTGTGTGTCATCTTGGTGCCACATCATGTCCCAGAGTTCCCCCTGATCCGGAGCTTTGTTCGGGCTGTCCCTTCCTGCACTTCCAGGCTGGGTCGGGAGCTGTACGTGTTCCACCGAGCAGGATTGCTCACGTGAGTCATGCCTCAGGATAGCCGCTCTGGGCTGCTGTGGGATGCAACTGCCAGCATTTGTAGGGAGTGTCCTCTCAGTAAAACCCAAGCACAGTGAGAGGATTCATTTGGGATTTGTGTATACAATACTAAGGTAGGGAAGATGGACATTGGAATAGACCAGTGTCTCCAAGTTCCCTGGTTGTGGGCCAAGGCCAGCAGAGAAACGTCGTGCTGTGTTGACCTTGGGGATGTGGGTCAGGCTGTGTGACACTGGCACCTGATAGCCTAGTGTATGTTTGATTCTTGGAATTATGCTGTAGCTTTCTTAATAGAACTGTAATTATGTGTTTCTGGGACATACAGGTCACAGCAGGGGCACTGTTGAGTATCTGTTCTATATAAGTTCTCTTTTATTTTTGGTGTTGAACCATTTATTTCGTGCCTTCAGTATCTGTGATGCTCTGAACACTTCTGTTGGCTGAAATATCAGTGAATTGCAACACAAAGCCTTTCTTGCTGTGACTTCTCTTGTATGGAATGATTTTTCCAATGCTTTGCTTGTATATCAAGCCTATTCTAGGTCAAATACCAAGCTTAAATTGTGGCATAGAGATTTTCTTTTTTTCATTTTGGTCCTAATGTACCTAAATACTGTGTGGTTTCAGCAAAGTAATTCTACGTTTAATTGTATACCTAATCACCTCTGGTGGTACACAAATACTTCATGCACAAACTGGCCAGCTGCTCTTGGACTGAGGCAGAAGCTTTTTGCCCTGGGATGAAACTTCTCCTTCTGGGTCCTGAGTAAAAATCCAGCTGGCTGGAGAGAGAGCTGCTGGAGTAATTCCTGGTAATCTCAAGCCCAGCTGCTCAGTAATCCACCGGTAGGGTTGGGAGTCATATGTCCTCTTGCGATTTTGGGCAAAGTTCAAGTTGTTATCAAAGCTCTTTTAAAAAAAAAAAAAAGTTACCATCATGATTACATTGTGCATATTCCAAATGACACCAGTCCTTTCATGAAAACAAAATAGGGTCATCAGTAGCATTTTCCAAATCCCCCTACAGCTTTGCAGGAAAGTAAGGGAAAATAGCTCCTCACTGAGGTTCAGGATCAGAAGAGCTTTGGGAGAAAGCACAGTAAGCTTTTGGAAAGTTTCTGCAGAACAAAACCCACAGGGTTTAAGAGATACCCTCTTGGAAATAACCAAAATCCATGAAAGATCAACACGTTGTACTTGCACCTACGGCTTTCAAAAGCATGTGAGTGAAAAGGAAGTCACAGAAAATGGACTAAAAGAAAAATGGGGTAAGAAGAGGGGAATATGAAGATGTGAAAGGGCAAAGTCAGAAAAGGCACAGGCACAAAATGAGCTCTTGATTAGTACAGTTAGTAAAAAGGAATAAGAAAAAGTGTTAAGTACACAAAAAGCAAGAGCGCAGCAAATGGAACTGTGGGTTTGCCACTTAACAGTGTAGGAGAAAAAAATAGCAGATGACAAGGCATAGGCTGAGGTTCTTAATGGCTACTTTGCCTCCATTTTCACTAAAAAGCATAATAATAATAGTGTCCTTGTCTCTGAGCAAAGGACTTGAGCATCTAGAATGAGTTAATTCATTGCTGGGAGAAAAATGAGTACAGACCTTGGATAGTCCTTCCTTCTGTTCCATAATCCCAGTGGAGCTGGTGGATCTGCTTATTTAAAAAAAAAAGGCAGTTTCAACTTTTCACATGTTCTGTTTTTGTCATGATCAAGATGCAGTTCCCTGTAGGCACAGCTGCTTTCTCTGGGGCATGGGTGGGGCAAAGCTGGTGGGCTGGGCTGGGAGCGGTGGGGGGACAGCACACTCGGGCTGCAGAGTGAGACACAGTCCTCAGCACTGTTGGGTCTTGCAATTGAGAGTGGAAATGTGTGAGAAGCTACAGAAGCTCAGCTGATGCTTGCTTAGAAGGTCAGAATTAGTTTGTAATTTAGTAACCAAATGTATGCTTTTGAGCACTCAAAAACTGTGAGTGAATTCAGCTGTGAAATTTCTCATAACATACCAGAATCTTGATTTTTTTAAGGTACCAGTGCTGTTCATTAAGCTTGTATTTCACGAGATGTCTTTCAATGTGACTGAGGCTGGAGAACAGCACATCCACTTTTAAATTGAAAGCCAGAAGAACAGGAATAAAAAGATTATACTACATGAATCACAACTTTTTATCTGTGGGTGAAAGAACTTATTTCTTGGAACTGAAGCTGTAGTTCAGCTTCTTGAACAGTACTCCACAAATGTGGGTTGTGTGAGCTGTGTATATCTAGGAAGGGGTTGATGCTTTGACATACACTGGGAGATCTCCTCAGCTGCTGTAGACTGTCAGTGTGAAGTGAATTTTCTTGCTAACTGCTAGGTGGGAGATGTTTGCTAACAGTCTGTAAATGAGCTAAGTGCCAGGTTCCTGCTGTCTGTGGGTAGGGTGTTCCATGTATGGCTTAGGCATTCTGGTACCAAGTCAGTACTGTGTCAATACAAACTGGCACTCCATGCTTAGCAGAGGCGTTGCAGTCATGTAAGTTTATCCTCATGTGTTACTGCTTGAGGCACCAATACCTAATGCAAAAATCAGTAATTTTGTTCTCGGAGAAATTTATGTTCCTGCTTTACTTTGTACCTGACAGCTGGCTCAGTTATATTTTTCTCTGTCCTTTTCTCATTTTTTCTTGCCTTTCCCTGTTTTAATTTAACTCTTTTCCCCATGTGCCATATTGTTCAGCTATAGATTCCACATTCATTTTATGGTTCTTTGCCTCCCTTTATTGCTGACTTTTGCTCACTTGAAGACAAGTGATACCTGGGTTTATAGATTGGACTGAGTGTTTAATAGCAGATAAAGCAAGATTCTGGAGTTGTCTCAAGTAGAAGCTCTGATCTTTTCTATTACTATGCAATAAGTTCATATCTGCCTTTGGAACAAATGTCATTTAGCAATCTGCTGCAATTTCTGAATGGTGTTGTTGGTACTTGTGAAGGGTGTGTTGTCTTAAGCTTGGTAGTTGTCCTTATTTTGTCACAGAGTCAACTTTAATTCTTTTTTGTCCTTTTTTAGGTCATTTAATGTAAGAAAAGCAGCAACCAGTGACCTACAGGGTGTCAAAGTGCTCATTAAAACTCTTAGCTTGAATGAAAGGATATGGAATGACTCAAAGATATTCACTGAGGCTCGAAGGGATCCAGTGAGTATTTGTTGCTGATATGTGTTCAATTCTGTCCTAAGATCAGGACTTAACCCAGGACTGAAGCAGTAGCTGAGCTTGTAGCACTCTTGCAGCAGCTGTACCCAAACTGAAATGTCGGTGAGGAAAGGTCTGTGGTCCAGAGTCTAGCCACACACCTGGCTCAAACAGGACCCTCTTGGGGAGCAGGCTGGTTAAACTGGGATGGTGCCTGGGAGCTGCACTGGGAGGAGAGTGTTTTAACTGGGATTGTGTGGCAAAATGCACAGTTACCATTAGAAAGAGATTCTACTGAAACTGGAAATGTACATCTGTTGCCTTTACCTTGCAGGATGGGATGCCAGTACAGGCTTTTGTAGCAGAAGTTTTGGATCAGATCGTTGGTGTTTCTGTCACTAGGGATGAAATGGTAAGTTCAGTTTGTGTTCCATTGAGCTCTGTGGTGCTTGGTGCTCACAGTAAGGCTGAATTTTGTGCGTGGCACTGTACTTGTGCCTAACAAAGTATCTGTAAAAATGCTTCTTGTAGAATCTGTCTAGTCTACGCCCACTGTATTATTTCTCTGCTCATAGATAATGATTGACACACAGATGAAAAAAAAATTATCCTGTTACTTTCAAGAAGCTGCTGCTATGTCCTGAAAGTTTTCCTCCTGTACTTTTTTTGTGCTTTAGCACAAACCATTCTGCCTCTAAATAGGTGTTTAATCACCTCTTTCATTTCTACTTTCCAAGTCAATAAGCAGCTTTGCCACAAATCCTGCAAAAAGCAGTAATTCTTCTTCTAGATTTGCTTTCATAACTTTTTTGTTCAGCAGTAGAGTCTAAGTGATTGTGAATCATGTACTTGAAAACAAAAGCCTATTCCCTGATGGAGTAAAAAAAGACATTGCACATTATAATTGAATAGTAAACATTCTCCAAGTATTACTTCTGTGGCATTCTGCTAGGACTGAAAAGGTGGATTTTAGGTTGTTCAGCAGTTCTAATGCTTAGTTTTTACAACAGAACAGTCACTCCTGTTTCTGAGAGTAATTCTCTTGATTATTTTAAAAGCTAAGAGGATAGATTGAGTGCATAATGTGCAAAAATGTCAGTTTATCACTTCAACAGGGAAGGTTTGTCAGAGGGCATTTCTTACAGAGCTCTGCTCTGTGGAATTCCCTTTTTCAGCTGGAGTTTGATGAGAGGGATAGCCTGGGCTTCTGTGCCCTGGAGTTTGATGAGAGGGATAGCCTGGGCTTCTGTGCCCTGAATGCAGAAAAACAGGTAGGGGGTTTTTTCTCCTTCTTTGGATGTCTGTTAACTTCTATCAGGCATTGTGGGATAAAGGTCAGGTGTGCATTCCTTGTAAATAAGGGCAAGCTGCAAGAAGAGGTTTTGATACAATGAAAAGATTTCCAAGAAAAATCTGTTCAGTCAATGCCCTCAATTGAGGACAGCTCTCAAAGACACTTGATTTCAGTTTTCAAATGTAGTACCCTGATTGATAGAAAGTGACTCATTGGTTGGTATTCGCTAAAATCCTGTCAAGGTGCTTTTTTTCAAGCTGCTGATTACTGCTGACTCACAAATTCCTAATATTCCAGGATATTGAGTATATTCGATCACATTACAATATTGAGGACTTCATTCATTTTAATTACCACCAGCAAGAGGAACACGGACATCTTTGCCACTTTGTCTTGAATCCTGTATTTCATCACTATACAAAATACTTTCTAAAGGAGATTCTTCGCTTGGGTCACAAATCTTCTCTTTACTACCCTATTTATCCAGAATATGTGGAGGGCAAGGTAAGGAGAGTGTGATTAGTATTTCTTATATTAAATATTGCCATATTTTCTCACTTTATTTTTTCTTTGCATCCATGAATGACTGCAAACAGGGATTTTCTTGTCAATCTGCAGCAAACTGTACCTTCTTTTCTTCCTGCCTGACATATTCTGAACCTGTGGACACAGCTCTTGCATAGCAGGGCTGATCCATGGTGTCCACTGGTGTCTTCAGGAAGTGTGGTGAGGAGCAGAGTGGCCTTGGCTCCCTGCCCAGCACAAGGGTAATGTAGCCTGAGTAAATGCAAGGGGATCATCCTGAACACATCCAGGTGGCTTATAAAAACCCTTCCGAAGGGATTCAGGTACTCTAGACTGTGTTTCACCAAACGTCAGTGGGACTCGGGCATCTCACTGGCTTTTGAAGAGGGGACTTGTGTTCCTGTAAGTGTCATGGGAGAACTGTAACAACTGAACTTCCAATGGAGAAAATCCATTTCTGGGAAGAACGTAATTCAGAAGCACTCACACATGTGCTTTGTCATCAATCTCATGTCAGAAAAGGGAACAAAAGGTAAAATTTGCAAGCTGTCTGTCCCAGGCAATGAACCGTGCTCCTGGCACCATTGAAGGAAACACACAGTGCATCCCGATGGCAGTTCATCCATTGGTTGTACCTGGCTGTCTTGAGACAGATGGAATTTTCCCCTCGAGACTGGCCACCAGCTTGGGCTTCTGCCTGGCTGGCTGAACTGGGCACCTGGTGTTTAGATGGTGATTGAGATGGGTTCTGTCCTTGGTGACTTGGGTGTTTTTGAAACCACCACTGGCTTTCACATGGGAACTGTTTGACAGGTTAGACTTTGGGTACTTTTGCAGAAGGATGTGTTTTCACATGCACTTTTGTGGAGTTCTAAGTGTTCCCATGAGGAACCAATGTTCCTGTGTAGCGTTAGGCTCTCAGATTCTGAAGAGGCACTCACAAAAATTCATTTAATGGCACTGGATGGAAGAGAAGCTACATTTTACCAGTGATTCCGGTTTTGACTGTTTCCAGGCTACTGGGCTACAGAGTTACTTAAGCTTATCTAATATTATTATCTAGTAAGTGCTAACTTAGTTCTTAGTTACTTAGTTCATAGTAACCTCAAGTTTTTAGTATTTGTGTGTGAGTAATTTAGTTTGCATTAATGTTAATTCTGTATTTCTTGCAATTCTCTTATTTTCTTGCCTTTCATGTTGTCAGTTATGCCAAAGGCAGTCATGGTGTAATAGCCAGATACAGCTATTTCTAATGATCAAGGCTGTTCAGATGAGCGTTAGGTTTTTGTTCATTTCAAATTTCTGACAGTTTATTAACATTTATCACTTGGATGAACCAGACATTTCAGTTGGTATAGAATTTCTATATAAATTCATCTCCGTTCCTTGCCAGGTGAGCAAAGGTTAGCAGTGAGCAGATAACACAGCTTAATGAGGTCAAATCAAGCTGATTCATAATCACTATGGAGAAAAATATCCTCCTGGGGAAAATACTTGTGATGAAAAATCCCATAAACCTGTTTATCTGTCATTCCCACAGAGATAGCAATGTAATTACTCTCATAATTATCTTCATTAGTGTCAGGAATTATCTGCAATTCATTTCTCTGCTCTGAGTATGTTTGTTTATTCGCTGATTTTTGTCTCAGATTTAGCCAACAGAACTAGGAATTGTGTATTTGTGAAGCTGTGCAGCAGACATCTGTGATGCACTGCTCTGACATTCTCTCTGCTCAGATATGGATTGGTGTATTTCAGTTCCAGCATCCCTGTGCTCATTCCCTGACATCTGCCCTTCATTACATGGCTCCCGTGCGGCCGAGACGACAGATTGTCTATCCTCTGCAAGGACTTGGCATAAACGCTCCGTCAGAGCAAGTCTCCAAGGATCAGGTGGGTAACAGCAGAGGCAGCAGGCAGGAGGCATGGTGCCAGCTTGTGTGGGGCCTGGCAGATGGGCTGGCATTAACCTCCCAGTGTTCATGGGCTGCTCCTTAATTACAGCAGCCATGCTGGCTGGCCGATCCCGCTCTGCCGCCACGCCCAGCCGGGCTGGGCCTGTAGCCTGGCACATGTGGCAGCCGCTGGAGCAGAGCCTTTCCCACTTCCCATCGTGCTGACATGAGGGCAGAGCTTTGTCATGGCCTCCCAGCATCTTCTAAATGGCCTTCCTTCTGCTGAGCCCTTTCTCCTGCTAGCTTGCAAAGAACTGGTGCAGCCTGGAGGTTCTAAATGAAAAGTCTCTTAAAATTTCATTTTTAAAATAACTTACACCCCATTCTCTTGCATTTTTTAAGTAACTAAAATTTGGCATGAAGGTGATTCCTCAAAAGAGTAACTAGTGAAACTGAAATATTAGGAAAAAAACAATTGGTGATGGATTCTCTCAGTAGGTAGTCGTAATTTTGTGGAGAAACAGTTAGGGAGCTTTATGTCTGTCTACTGTCTTCCAGTTGGCTGCGATGGGCTTCCATATAATATTTTTAGAGGTGTCCTTTTCTCAGTCAGTAGGTTTTGGCACCTAAAACTCTTAATTAGGCAGCAGCTGGCAAAGCGAAATCCAGAACATGGCTAAGACTGTTGGTCTGGGTTTGGCTTTGTTCAACAGCCTTCCCTTCATATGCACTTCCCTACCTTTCTCTTCTCTGCAGAATGAACTCTGATGCTTTTCTTTAAACTGCTTCATATTCTTAATCTTTAAAGTGATTGTTCTTTTCCAAAAAGAGCTAATCTTAGCATTTTTGTTGAAGGTGGAAAATCGCAGACATCCTGTGTTTGAAAAATTTGCAAATCTTTTGTCTGCTCATGTTCTTCCTGAGGTTTTCTGAGCTTCTCTGTAGGTAGTGGCATAATGGTTTGAAATCTCAGATTCAAATTGCTATTCAATAGAATGTGTGAAATTTTTGCTAAGAAGTTGTACTGTAAAAACCCCAACTCAAGGCCAGCCAAGTATCTATGCATCTGCCTCTGCATGAATTACAGATTTTTTTTGACAGACAGTGCTCTATTAGAATGGACATCTGGGGCTAAGTGCTGGGTCATAACTTGAGGATAAAGCTAG